CTGTCGAACCTATAAAACGTGAAAGTGTGATGAGTCATTCCAAAAATCAGCACAATGGAATTGAAAACTCATGATTGAAGGAAGACAATTGTATAAAAATGCTTTGCACAGACCCAGGGCACAAACAAGTAACAGCAAGAAGGTTGTACTCTGCATATTTTAATTGAACAAGATGAATAAAAACTGTCGCTCGTATCGTATGTTCATACAACATTAAATGTATGGTACTAATCGACTAACAATGTGATTATCCCAAACTGTACTATTTCACAGAATGTGATAACAATCACTATGGAGCAGATTGCCGTCAAGTATGTCATTGCGATTCAGGTGACTGTGACCGAAAGACAGGGAATTGTGCATCCGGGTCATCTTGTTTGAATAATTACAAGGGACCAGCGTGCCAAGGTAATATTCAGATTTTACTTGTCAAATTTTATGAGTAAGAGTCAGTATATTTATTTTGTATAAAATATAGTAATGATTACGTAAAAACAAAGCTTATTTTATTATTCTTACTAATACTAATCTACATAATATAGGCAACAAAGGTAATTAAATATTTTAATTATACTGTACCTTGCATCCAAAATAAACTCAATTCAATTGAAAAGTTAATAGCCTACTGTATTGCAATAAGCATATTCTCATATTCCTATTTAGAGTACTTAATTTACATATGGCTAAAAAGGTACGGCCAGGCTACATTATAATTTCATTTGTTTAACCTCTTACCACCAATAAGTTGTAAGGACTTGAAGGATTTGTTTTTTAATAGAGGGTAACCCAGTTTACCAATTAGGCACGTTGATATTCATGAGCATCTTAAAAATGGAAAAGGAACATGATTCCTTGTCAACAAAGTCACATTATGAGGATTTAGGGAGTGCAATAGTTAAATACAATAAATAAAAACAGTGAAGTGAAGTGAATGTGTAATGACTTTCTATTATGCTTACGATTCATTGAGTCATTGTGTGCAAATTGTTGCTTTTCAATCAAAAATACCTAGTCGGCCCTAAAATGAAAATGACGCTAAGGAAATACACATGATTTCATCCTTTCTACAGAGTAAAACATACGCTTTGAGGGAGGAGAGGTTGACCTCAGTCTAGGCATATGTACTATTTCATGAAAAAGATAAAAATATGATCTTATGTTACATATTTCTTTAAATATTTCTTTCATTTGAGAGAGGGTCAGAAAAAATCCTGTTTAAAAAAAAAAAATGAATGATTCTAAACAAATATTTGTTTATATAGTATAGGTGTAATTTTGCCCTACCTGACGTGGAAATGTAACGAATACTCAGTACATTTGAAAACAACTGCGAAAAAAATCGCAAGTTGTTCTCGGGTGGGACTCGAACCCACGATCTCCAGATCACTAGCCTGGCATCAAACCTCTAGACCACCGAGCTTGCGCCTGATGGCCAGGGTTGAATTCGAGTCCAAGTAAGCAGCGGGTACTGCAGTGTTGATAGTAATTGTTATTGTCGTGATAGAATAATAGACGATAACTGGATTTGCGTCAGGAGAAACATGTATTTGTTTATAGTCGCGTAATTTAAAACTGTTATTTTTTTAGTTTGTTAGGGCCAGTTTTAAAAGGAATTGAGCATTTTTTAATCTACATGTAGGACAGGAATATTATCAAGTCGAATTATTCAAAATACGAGTACATGTGAACATTAATGGTAATATTTATAAAGTTAATTTAGACCTAACTAATACCTTTTGACTCAACATTTAAAGAAAACAATGATGTTGCATTTTGTTGTAGAATTACTGCCAGGCCTGTCCTGTACGCGATCTGGTTTCTTTGGTGTGTTGTGTAACTATCCATGTCATTGCAAAGACTCAGCTGATTGCAATCGTAATGGAAGCTGTGACAATGGATGCCACGAAGCATGGGCGGGAGCGGACTGCAGTATAGGTAACGATATACGTCTTCAAATTTACATTTACTTGTGTTAAATCGAGCTTAAATCTCAATTTTTTATAATTGTAATTGAATTTCCAAGATTAACCAACATATATTCTTTTCTATGAAGCCGCATGTTATACCTATAAATAATTCATTCGATGTATCATTCACCACCCCAGGGGCGGATCCAGAGATGTCCAAAAGTGGGGGTCGAAAGTGGGGCAGATCGAGATAACACTTCCCTGGGGGGTCCAGTGCATTCCCCGCGAACTTTTTGTGTTCTAGACGCCCGAAAATAACCTCTGAGGCATTTTGGCCATCATTTGTTTCTTTTTTTTTTTTCTTTTTTTTTAACCTTCCTACAGGAAGGGGGAGGGGTGGGGTGGCCAAATTCCTCCTGCACCCTCATTATATTGAAAATATATATTCATAATGAGTGTTATTATTATTAGCACTACCTTACAGCTCCAAACCGCCAACACTCTTGAATCAAACAGCAACCACCCTAAAGATTGCCGCCTGCAGCTGGGATCCAGTTCAAGACTTTGGAACAGGGAATATTACAGGATGTAAGCTATGGTAT